ATAGTGACAAGACACTGGGTAGAGGAGAAGAGAGAGGCGCAAGACTGAGAGCAATAGCAGGAGGGTGGATGGGGGTGCGGAGGGAGGGGAGGAGGGAATAGAATGGACAGGCTAGGCCAAGGAGTTGGACTGGGATCGATGGGCTGAAATGTCAGGCTCAAAGTGGTCTGAACACCTGCAGGATGGTGTATGAGAACACAGCACGAATAACATGCAGGGCACGAGTCTCGCAGGTCTCGGTAAGCCAAACAAGGGGATGTCACACCTTAGTTGCTTGCAAGGCCCTCCCGGTCAATGTCTTGTTTCAGCAGCGAGAAAACTAGCAACCAACGACTTGTTCCCAAGCTCCTGGCCGACACCACTTGCATCTTTCCGATGCAGAGCGTGACGCCGGGCCTGGCCAGAGTAAAACTAGCACATGTGCACATGCTGTAGGACTTAGCACTCTGAGCTCTTCTGCGCCTGGGTCCTTCTTCCCCAGTGCCATTCTCCGCTGCCTGAGGTTTGCGAACCCTCGGAGCTGCGTGCCTCCGCTCAAACAAACAGCTTCACACTGACACTTCTGAGATCTAAAAGAAAAACAGGCTTTTTCTTGGCGTGTGTTTTGCTGCATGCTGCATCTTTCAAGGCCAGGCCTGCCCGGGCAGCACAGGCTTGCTTGGATTTTCTCTGCAGACGCGCTCATGCGACCCCCAGAACGGGAGGCGGTTCCTCAGCTCATGGGAGAGCGCATGGAGCTTCTGGAATGAGTTAAGTTGGCATCTGATCAGGATTGCTGAAGCTCTGAGTTCGCACATTGCCAGTTCGCATTCTCTACACGATGCCACAATGCCCATGGTCTGGATGCCTGAACTGAGCAAACGCTTGCCGGGTCTTCAGCATTCAATGGGAAAAAACAAGACTGTGCAAGGCTGGTGAGCACTACAATCGCTACAAAGCGGGAGGGAGGTTTAACGCCACCACCAAGAACATTTCAATTTGTACCGTGGTCATGCAAACATAGTGCAAAGTATGGGTGAGTCAACAAATCCACAATGGACCCTCTCTGCACATCCTCTCCCATAGGGTTATTGATGCCCCTGGGTTGCACTTCCTGTGAAAGAATCAAGCTGGACCCCCCCATCAAAAAGCTCTGTTTCCTTCGAAACAATCCATATCCATCCCCCCCCTCAACCTGTAGTACAATCAATAGCTCGCTGCTTTCCAGACCTTGTCTGCCCCAAGTATTGCAAGCTTTCGTGACATCAGGACAATCTATACATAGTTCAATCAAGGAAACGCGCGACTTCTGAGTGGTGGACAAGCTCTTGTGCTGTCCCTTCTTTGTGACGCACCTGAGTCGCGGTCCCATATCCAAAAGTCAATGCAGCCAGCCATGCAGCCAGCCCTGCACACATCCAATTGCGCTGGCAGACTGCTTGCAGCCTCACTGAGCTTTGGCACGGTCTGCAGCACCAGTAGCACGGGACAATTTCATCAGCTGCGTAGGCAACTGAAAGCTTGTCAAAGTGGTGCTCATGCATGTGCAACCTTGGAAAGGGCGAGAAAGACCAGCGACAGTGCTGCAATTAGGCCCGAAAAGGTTTCATACAGCTTGAATGGTTGCCTCCACCGCTCGAAGGATCCGAGGATGATGTTCTCTGCTTTGCCTCCGGGCCCGCATGTGGAGCTTGAACTTTGTTTGCATAGGTAAGAAGGCCCCAGAAACAACTGCTTGCTCTCTTACCAATCGGCATGTTGTGAGCCAGTCCGTCCGCTCAAGAATCCAAGACCATTGTCAAAGATAGAGGAAACACCACGGGTCCAGAGCGGCATTCTTGGCCCTGGGGACAAGACAAGTCCTCACTTCCGAAACAAGATCTCTTGCGACTTTCAGGCCCCTTGCCTTCCTGGCTCATGCCCCAACCTTGGCAGGAAAATGGCTAATCAAGTTCAGTCCGAATCATGATTCACGTGTCTTGCCGGCGGGGCCTCTGATTCGAAAAGCTGTCTGCAATAAGCTGATGCTTCTCCCAGTCTCCCAAACCAAACCAATCTTTGTTGACCAAGTGGAGTTCTACAGAAAGTTCCAACAGGCTGGCCAACAGCTGTCAGCAGTCAGAATGGCCATGGGATCTCAGCTCTCGGCACCAGGGGCACCAGCAGACCTCTCCGCGCATTCTGGATGATTGCACAGCGATGTCTTGGAAATGTTGGGCACAGAATTTCGGCTAGCAAAATTATGCAGAGGCATAGCAAGGAAAATCAGACTGCACCCTTGGCACAGCTCTGGAAAACATACCCTCCACCCTTCCAACATCCGAGAAAGGCAACATTCAACTAGTAACTAGTCTTCCTTGTGCAAGCAAACTGCTGAACAGCAACACTGCTAAACAGCAGAGAAAGTCTCTACTGGGGTCGCCCTGTCCATGTCAGCATGGCCTCATCGGCTGTAGCTGGGGACGACGGTGGCAGCGACGTCTTCTCGGAGTCCTGTGTGGGATTGCTTAGCTGCCTGAGGACATCTCCGAAACCGAATTCACTGCTTGCAGAACTGGGTATCAAGTTGAAAAATGTCAAGACAAAGGACAGGCCCACGAACATCTTCAGTGGCTTGGAGAAAAATCTTGTCAGTATAGGGAATACTTCTCAAAGCTGGGTTTCTGCAGTCTGCGTGAGTAACGGCCAATCCCTAGAAGTGCGTTGAGAAGAGGGTCCAAGTGGTGTGATGTATGCTTGCAATGGAACCAAATGAACGTTTTGCCAGAGCACTGAAACCATGCAAGCCAAGGACGTCGACCTCTTGTCCGAATGACGCACCAAGCAAAAACTCCCACTGCTAGGATCATGTGGGTGATGCTCACACCAGGAAGCGCTGCACATGAAGTAGTGACCTCGCGTAAGCCTTCCGGATGCCTGCAGCAAGCGCATGTTGACATGGCTTCTGGGAAAAGTTGAATATGACTTGGTATGTGGTGTAGGCCTAGCAGCCTAGCAACTAGGCCTGCACCCCTAGCAGAAAAAATCAACAACAAAAGCACCAGCAAGGCCGCACAACACATGCCATGAGACCTGGCGCGATGAGCTCCATCCGCAGGGGTTGACTTCTCAGCCAAAGGATGACCAGGCCTGTGGGCAGGATGCGTGTGGGACGCCTGATCACCAAAAAAGAAAAAAAGCCGGATTAGCCGGCCTCGCATGGAAAACCACATCCCCATTTGGACGAAGATCATCTGGCTTTGGATTCCAATACCTGCACTTGAACAATTCCATCTTCAAGCTCCAACATGAGCCTGAAAGCCCGCAGCAAATGTGCAGGAAACCTGACCTTTAGCACTGAGGAGACTGCGGAATGCGTTCATGCACATCAGGACCAGGCACCTTCAGAAATGCCAACGTGTGCGCAAGGCGTGCTCAACACTTGCTTGTACAAATGACAACATGCCTATTCTGGATGGGCAGATTGCAAAAACACTCCCTGGTTCTTGCCAATTACCTAGAACAATGCAAGCTTTAGGATCGAAAGCCCCAGCATCAGAGCCACAACCTCGCAGCCCTTAAGCTTTAGTAGCAAAAAGCATGAGAAACCAGAGCCAGAGGCACAGCATGGTCCCGCGCCTCCAAGTCTGGAGGCCGCTGACGTGCCAGGCCTGTTGGCTTCTCCAGCCTCGGCTGACATCTTCTGCTTTAGAGCCAAGGTCCAGCATGGTGACGCTTTGCATTTGCTGCTGCCAGAACCATGAGGGATTTGGACTGGCGACCATCTTCATGTGACAAATGCATTCAGAAAGTAGATCTCTTTGCTTTATATCAAGTCATGTGGCATGCAGCCAAAAGCTGCAAGCCCAAGTCAAGATGCTGATGCAATGTGGTTGGCAGCAGCAGTCACATTTTGGACGGCCCTAACGTTTGGAAGCACTCGACGGCTCATTCCCAAAATTCTGCCCGACCATTGGCTAAGCTGCAAACGCGGAAGGCCCTGATAGATCCACCTGCACGGGCACGGCAATATAAACACCAGTGACCCAGGCTACCTGATCTTTCCTCATTCAAATTCCACAGCTGTCTTCAGCTGGGGTATCTCTTCATGCCCGCCGCGTAGCCGGACCACTAGGTCTCCAAACTACGTTAGCTGACATGTTACATGTAACAAAAACGAGTCCACGAATCAACTTCCTGAAGCAGGCAAATTGAAGAGTCTGGGATACGGACCCGCGAGAGTTCCACTGTCAGGCATGTGCAGTTGTCATCGCTGCGGCGGGCGACAGCCTGCAGTGCTTGGAAAAAATCCTTATTATGCATAGCGTCTTGGACCATGAAAAGGAACCTGGCCCCTAATCCAAATTAATGTTTTTCAGGGTGACGAGCTCGTGAAGACCGAGCTAGCACAGAACAGACAAAGGCCGCATTGCCGCATGGCAAATAACCCAGCAAGCTAAAAGTAAGCCAGCTGAGTATTGAGTAGAGGTTCATACTCTACCAAATTATTTGCAGTTAAGAACATGTCCGGACAAGAGCCAGGGTCAAGGGCCCGGCCGCACAAACCAGAGCATGGCTCAGGGCAGACAGCGGCGTCGACGGCCTCGAGGGCAGCGATGGCTGAGCCCTGGACAGGCACCTCAGCCCAACATCGTCACATTGTAACTGCCACAAAGCTCAGGAGTATAGAAACTGCACTTTCCCTGCACCCTTTTTCAGCATCGCCCATGGTGCTCTCAGTTGAACATAGTTAAACTCAAGCCGTACGGAGTCCGCTGCAGACAGCATGCAAATGCTTTTGCATTGTCGGCCTAACCATGCTTTCATTGATCAATCCGTTGGCGTGCATATCCAGTAGTGTAGCTGAAGACCATCCGTTGACACCGTGGCTCGTGCCTGAGATGGTCCATCATTGGCCAAGTCGCTTCTGCCCTGGTTATCGTGAGGCTTCACAGACAGCTTCGCAATTCCTCATACAATTCCCACTCAGTTATGACGTCATGATCTTGGCGCCAACTCGACATTGCCCACTCATCTTTGCATTACAAAAGGGCAGCCAAGACGTTCAAGTCCAAATCATCAAAATTTGTGACAACACTGCCCGTCGAAGCAATCAAGGTTTTGTGCGGCACGTAGCGGATACCATACGCTTCAGGAGGAACGCCGGCACCATGCCACACGGTGCTCTTCAAGCGATTGGCTGCTGCAAACTCTCGAGCTTTGTCAAGACCTTAGAAGAAGCCCAGCACATTGACATGCGAATTCATCAAAACAGAGGTGTGGAAGTCAAAGGGCCTTCCAAGTTCACGAGTAGGAAGCTGACGGCGTCCTGGCGCACAACAGATGACTTTGTTCGGCCAGGATGCTGCTGCAAGTTACATTGCATTGGAAAGGTTCTCGAGTCCTTGTATTTCGCAGATGTCGAAAGCTTCTGTAGCTCGTCCATTGCCCGTTTTGAAGTTGGGCAATCACTGCAGTAGAACAGAAGGACCGTCGGCTTGGCCTCCTTGCACAGGCAGGAGCGCGTGATTTTGTGAGAATGCCCCGACGAATGATTAGCCGGAATGACAACTGTACAGGCATACCTCAACCAACTGGGACAAAGATTTCGTCGATCCATCAAGGAAATGAATCTCAAAGTCTGGCGCCGGCTTTCCCACCAAGTCTTTGGCCATTGCAGCTTGTCTTGAGCCAAACACATTTCTTCGTGAACGGGCTTCTCAAAACTCAGGAATGTAGAGACGCTTCTGCAAATTCACAAGGCCGTGGCAAGGACACAACTTCTTGAGATGACCTGACCAGAGTCACTCCGACACAAACCGGTCTTGTTAATCCTACAGGTAGTTGCTACCAGTAGCAGCTCCACTCCACAACTCTCAACTCCGCTAGGGATGCGCGCATGAAGCCAAAGATGCCATCTGATGCCAACAGCAGGAACTGCTGCCCGGGACGTCGCCTTGGCGTTCAGAAAATCTTCTAGCAACGAACTGCATGTCTGTGCTGAGACATGCCCCACCGTCAAAAGCAGCAGAAAGAGCACCTGAATTGGGAATCAGGCATTATTGTGCGGATCTCTGGAAGACCAGAGACGATGTGACCCTCTGCAGGTCCCTGGCAAGAACTCAGTTGTGCAAGTAGACGTCATCACTTGGAGTTTGCAGTTCACGCTTCACGCAGTTCAGGCCTGCGGCTTTGCCCAGTAGTCCCCGAGAGAACGCGTCGTCGCCTTAGAAAGCAAGCCGCCACCTTCAACTGCAATTCAGATGCCAAGTCCAACATCACCCAAGCTATGTGTCTTTCCCACCTGTATTCATTTAGCCAGGCTCTGAACACACCAGCAGATCAAACACGGCTCAGTCTGGGCCCAATACCAGCCGGCCCGGAGCACCTACACTCAGAAATACTTCATGGCATAGGCAGAACATTCCACAAAAAGATCCTGGTGCCCAAGCCTCCAGTTGTGACACGATTGTCCGCTGTAAAGCTGCCTCGGCCCACTTGCAGCGTGCTCTCTTCAACCCTCGCAGCTTTGCTGCTTGAGCGTGCTCCTTCTTACTGCCTCAAAAAGACCTTCCTACGCAACTAAATGCAGGAGGATAAGCTGAAACTACTGTTGCATAACTACAAAACAAAAATCGTTCCAAAGCAAAGCACAGCTAGTGGCACCGCTGGTGTAACCCCAACCCCAAGCTGCTAACCCTCTCCATGTCTGGCATACAAACAATGCAAACGAAGCTCTTGACACCCCTAAACTTTGCGTACCTCTTTGGCTCCACATTGCCACAACACAAGTATCTCCCATTCAAGCACGCGGCCGCCTGCTGCAAGCACCCGCCGGCGCTCCTGCTGCAATTAAGGATCCGAAGTCAAGACATCACATCTTGCTGACACACGACAGAGACCACGGGTCACTGCATTACACATGTTCAAGGAAAGTGCTCGGCTTGCCTAACACAGAATCCACGTCCGGGTCAGGTCTCGAATATAGGGTCGGTCTTGTGGTCTTTCCCTTTCCAAGCCAATGGGATTCCCGCCTCCGGCGTTGCGCTCTGCACGTTGTGATCGGAAGACAGATCGTGGGCAGCGCCCTGCTCTGCCAAGACCTCAGTCTTCGCCCCTTACAAACAACCCTTCATGATAGCAACTGGGACATCAACACATCTGCAATCGCCGCAGTTGGCGACCACGATGCTGGTTGGTGTGACCTACAGCGCACGTTGCTGCCTGATACGAGTCCAGCAGCATGGCACGCTGTGCATCCGGCCGCAGCTGCTGTGACACAGGCTCCTGAGGCCCAGAGCGGCAAGCCTGCAACCCAGTGCTTGCAGCTTTCAAGGAACTGGCCAATTGCTACTGAAGGCGGCATTTCAAGTTTCACCAGGCCTGCAGACTGCTGCAACAAGTCCGTCTGCACGAACGCTTCCACCAAGGCAGATTCAAGTTGGCCTGCACAATGATCAGGCGGCGATTGCCAAAGCGCGTGCAACACATTACATGGAGATCTACAAGATCCACGGAAGCACAAAGCAACAATCCCGCGACCTTCCGAGAAGTGGCGAGATTGTGCAAGCTGCGTTGGCAGGTGCCGACCTGGAGCGGTACAAAGCTGAACAGAATGATCTACTCCTTCCTGAGAGTCGCTCCATCTCTTCTGAGAACCCGTACGCACAAACGCCGCGCAAACCTCTCCACACTCACCATGCCCGTCCACCACACCTTGGCAAAAATGCATCATCCAGCACTGCAGACAACAGATTTCCGCGAAGTGAAAACGAAGAAGCACGCACTGTTGACCGAGGGACTGGCCGTATAGTGCAACACGGTCAATGCCTCCCAGTCGCACCCCGAACGTGTTGGCCATGTCCTCCACGACGAAGTACGAATCCTACCATGCACGCTGCGTGAGTTAAAACACCAAAGGCAACTCTGAATGACATAGACTCAGAGTGTGATCGCGTTCAACAAGCCAGGCCCACCTGTTGCTTGACATTTTTCGGAAAATTCTTGTTTTGAAACTGGGCCTCAGAAGTAATCATCTACTCCACAAGGCATTCAAATTGGAAACGCATCACATCCCGACCAAAAGGGCTCCCTGCCGCACCGCATGTGGCAAAATCTTCGCATGGCACACTTTCCTGATTTATACATGTTGAGATGTGCTCATCCTCACACATAGCACTGTGTTTGGCTTGGTAACTGTTGCTAGGCCCCACCGTGCCTCCGGTGCCATGGACCGGCCATCAGTCCTGGACCACGCACTTGTACTCCCGATTCAGACATCTCCCACCAGCGCCACAAGAAAAACAACTGCCGGGCACTGTGGACCTGCTCGGCTTGAGCAGTGCTAGCCATTGTCCACCGCATTTCAGGCTAGCGGCTTTCTAGGTTAATTCATAGATTCGTTGAGCCCAGGAGCGACGACCATGTTCACGTGAAAACGGTGCGGAACTTTTCTTCGGCATTGGACATTTAACAATGCATGTGCTCGAATGCCTTGGTCATAAGTCCAAACTTCTGCCAAAAGCTCGCGGCCTTGTAGTTCGTTTTATCATTGCAGTATCATCCAAAAGACGATGCCACCAATAAAAAAACTTGACCACGACAAATCATGCAGCCAACGTTTACGGGGACCTGCTTTTGAGCATGGTTCAAATATGCATGTTTTTTGACTAGTGTTTGACCGTCCCTGCGTAGCTGCCCGACCGTTCACATGCGCAGTTGATGTAAGCACTCAAGACATGCGCAACAAGTCCTGGCACACCTCTGCATTGAACACATCGAACATCAAAATCCCCTTCTTGCAACAGCCGGGTTCTACCAACCCGGTTTTCAAACAAAAAAAATGTCCTGGCGACGAATTTAAAAATACTGTGCAACTGCTCGAAACCTGTCAACCAGCCATTCAAACTAATAAAGGAATGGTTTACAGCATGCTTTGGCGTGGATGACATTAATACTGCAACGCAGCCCAACATTGCAAATATCCAAGCCAAAACGAAGATTTTCATATAGGCGAAAGTGTAAAAGGTCGACTGGATGTTTCAATCACAACCAGCAAACCAACTGCGCAAACGCACCTTTTCACTCTGAATGTTGTAACTCGTAGCTCAGCTCAGCATTGACAGAATGTCCAGAATTTATGGCAAGGCAAAATACCTCCATAATCCTTTCAGCCTCTAAGGGGAACCTTGAGCCAAAGCATTGGAACATTCC